CTGGTTATAAGGAGTTTGCAATGCCTTGTTGCTTGACATACTCTTCCATTGCCTGTACCAGCATCACATCATCACTTCTACTGTGTAGCAGGGAAAAGAAGAAAAAAGTCATGGACAAGTGGCAATTTCTGGGTGCTTATACTTTGCATTAACTTTTCACAGGTGTGAAATGCAGCATAGGACATCACATAATAAAAGAAAAACTAACAGTTTCCAATAATGTTACCAGCTGTTTTCTCCAGAATTTTAAGGCTCAAGTAGCCTCCATGTTTTCCCTTTTCCTCTAAAATTGGGAAAATCATATACAAAATATTTTTACTGACAGAATCATAAAGCTGGAAAAAACAAAACAAAACAAAAAATCCACCCCAACACCTAACAGGTAGGAAATTCCAAAGGTTTAATTCTTCCAAAATGTTCAAAAAAAAAATCTACCAATTTAAATTCTCTGCTATATAGGATGTTTTAGGCATTGCTCGTTGTCATTCAAACTATAGGGTAGCTGAGTCAAAACAGGAATTGCTGTTGGGTCAAAGAAGTTGCCAAGGTAGTTTGTCAGTCCTATTCCAGCAATACAAAAAAAGTAAGAACAACTGTATTCAGACCAAAAGCCCATTCAGCCCAGCCAGTATCCTCCCTCTAATAGTGAGCAAAAATGGAGGCACAGAGTATCCTTGCCCTGTGCTCATATGTAATAATTTCCCCTAATACTGTCAGCTGCCAATCATTTTCAGTTAAAAAATTTCCTGAAATGGTTTCAAAATACTAAGAGACACCCTCAGTGGATTTGTCTTCCATGAACTTGTCCAATTCCCCCGTGAACTAATGTATACTTTTAGAATCCACAGCATCCTGTGGCAATGAATTCCGTACTTCAGTTTTCTGCTGCACGAAGAACTACCTTCTTCCATCTGTCGTGAAGCCAGCAGGATCTAGATTCAGTTGATGCCACTCACTCTTGTACAGGAGAGAGTAAGAAATCCGCTCCTTCCAGCTTCTTCCTGATATATTGTTTCTTTCCCAGTCATGTCTTTTCCAGACTGAAAAGTCCTAGCCTATTTAGTCATTCTTTATGCAGGAGCCATTCCAGACCTTTCAAATTCTAATTCTCCTTCTCTGAACCTTTACCAGCTGTTCTTTGGACCAGAAAGGCATCCAGCATTCAAGATTCGAGCAAACCTTGGATTTGTACAGTGACACAGTGATGTTCTTTGTTTTGTTATCTATTTCTTTCCAAATATTTTATTTGGGTTTTGGGAGAGAAGTGGTTTTGACTGCTATTCAGTATTGAGCTGATGATTTTATCATCTTAAAACTTTCTTCCACAGTAGTAACAACCAACTCAAAACCCATCGAGATGCATGTGAAGTTCAAATTATTTTTCCCCAGCACAAGCATCACTCTATGTTTATCTACAATGAGCCAGTTGCTTAAGACAACGCCAAAAGGCGTGCAGTTGTTAGATGGTGTTAGTTGCAGTAATAATCTTTTCATAAAGGTCATGTTCTAGTCCCTAAGAAGGTTTTTCAACTTATGCTTGAGGTTTTACAATTATTTGGAAGCATGGAAAGCAAGTAATGATTCTGTATGCTCAGATTACCCTGAAGAACCATTTTTTCTTCAACTATGCCCAAATTCTCAGCATAATAATCTTCTAAGTACACCTTAATTAGACTATGCTGTCTAATTTCATGTTGCGCAAAAAAAATATTTTCTTAAATCAGCTTCGGATTTGCCACTTTTTTCCTTAATCAGATGTTCTTCTGCTTTTATGTTGACACAGAGAAAGTGAGAAATTCAAAAGATCATTCGTTTAAATAATCATTTTGCAGAAAAATTTTCAGCTTTAGAATGCCATATCTTTAATAGTCTCAGTTTTGTGCTCTGTCACGGTTTTGCATCTTTGTCATGTGATGTAACAAGGAAATCTCAGGGAAATCATTACAAATTGAAGACGCTTGACATTAAAAAGACCAGGTTCTTTATTAAGTTGTGATTTCTAAAACAGTCTAAAAGAGACTGGGCTCTAAGACACCTCAAAGTCTTTACAGAGCACTAAATTTTGTGCAACAATGTTTCAAAAAGCTGATGTAAGGAATGAATTCCAAATTAAATGTCACAACTGGGAAACTGGGAAATTGCTATCCATGTAACAAGCACAGGTAACATGCCTAGTACTGAACAAAAGATTTAACGGCGCAAATTAAACAAAATTCCTGCCACAAAGTTTCCGATCCAAAGACAGGGAAGAAGCCATTATTTCTGTGGTGTTTCACTGAACGAGTAATGTTTTGGAAGAGATCCAGAGAAGCAATGGATGCGTGTTGAAAACGAGAAAATAAAGGAACAGTGTTGTTGGAAGGTGGGAAAGAGAAGACAGACAAGGGATTTTGAAATGTATTCAGAAGATGGACCAAAGCTAACAACAGAGACAGCAAAAGAAGCTGGATGAATAGGAGGCAGATATGGGCCAGACATTAGGATGCTGCAGCCTTCAAGGTTGCTGAAAAGGCACACGACCTTCCTGTTTTTGTGGAATGAGTATGGTATGCAAAGGTTTAGAAGCTAACTAAAAAAGAGGAAAAGAACGGTCAAAGGAGATTTCCACATGATAAGGACATGCACCTGAGCAGTGACAGAAAATGATGGAAGAAACCAGTGTCAGAAAGATAAGCACTGAGAGCTCAAAGGAGTAACAAAATATCCAAGAGAAAATGAACTGCAAATGAGAAAAAAAAAGTTAGTAACAGAGATGGATTTTGAGCCTTCAGCATCTAAGAGGTGTTTAACAAAAACAAAACAAAAGTCTATCTTAAAAAAGACCTAAATGATGCCAAAACAGGAAGCCCATGGGATGCTGGAGGGAGATGTGGCATGGAAAAAAAAAAGAAAAAGAAAAAGAAAAATCACTTCCCATAGAGACACTGAAAAGGAGCAGTATATTTTGTAAGGACACAAGAGAAATCAGAAGGCTGGGACAAGAAATCTGGGAAAGCATCCCAGCTGGATCTTAAAAAAAGATAGAAAAACATCCATCTTATCCAGGAGACAGCGGTGGGTGAGAACAGTAGAGAAATCACACTTTGGAAGGGTGAAAAGAGGTTTCCAATAAACATGTTTGGAAGCATGCATCAAGGAGCTGTAGGTGAGGGACGTGATCAGACATGAGGGCTTAGGAGAAAAAGAGAAAAGTAGAGAGTAGAGGGCATGTGACATGTCAGATCAGTTTGTACTAGTCAGATAAAAGGCTGCTCCCTGGCCTCAGAACAACTAACAAGTGCAGAACATTTCTTATTATCTGACCATCCTATGAACGTTAACAAATGTTATCAATAGCAATGCAGTCCTAGCCAGCTTCCTTTCCCTGGGATTTCCCAGAAAACTGAAGAAAAATTTTGTCTTTTGCATTTCCCCTCATGGTTACCACATGAGACTGTTTTGGGCAGCAGATGTGGGAGAGATGGCACAAATCAGAGGAAGCTGGGAAGACCTGCCTTCATGCTCAAGTGGCAAAATCTCCTGGTTCAAAGATACTGGTATTTTGGCTATCAATTAAAATACATAAAAAGGCTTTAAAGAGAAAAATCACTGGTCTGGCTCTTCCCCCCCACGCCCCCCCCACCCAGAAAGGCATTAAGTCTTACCAACACACACAGTGTCCCTTTCCAGCCTGATGGAAGAAAGGCTACCATGCCTGCTGCACATGCAAACAGAGGCAATGCTCAAGTAGAGAGCAGAAGGGCTGACAGAAACAGTAGTCCTCAGGCTGTGCAGCTGGGTAGAGTCCAAAAGCTACTGCATAGCAATTCCTGAACCACAAAACCAAAACAGGGCTGTGATCTCCGAGATGCTCAGGATTCTCTAGGAAGCCATACCTGTCACAGGCACAGTGATGGTAAGAACTTGGACATCAATAAAATCATGCCAAAAGCCTCAAATTTTGGCAAAGAATTCTTAACAGGGTATTAGGAGGGGGACAGACTTCTGAATGTGAACATGGGGACCCACGTTATTTGATTCCCTGAACACGTAATAGCCTAGGAGCAGCTGCACTTGTCTCTCTTCCACATGGCTTGGCCAAGAAGTTGTGGAATTTGGAAAGCTCCATTACAAACAACTTCAGAGGCACTCTAATCCCTTCCTAATTCAGTATGCTGTCTGAAAGATCTCTTTCTCTCTCTATTTCTCCACTCTGCCCCTTCTCCTCCCTCAGAGGCATCAAGCAAAAACTCTCACTACAACCTGTCTGACCCCTCACCCTGCAAGTGATCTTCACCGTATCTCTCTACAAACGTCCACGAAATTCTGAATGACTTCCCGTATTAAATACGGTGAGTTTGGGGCAGTTACTTGCAAAATCACTCAGCCAGTCTCTTCTTAGCATATGTGTGAATTCCGCATCCAACAGTCTCTCATCAGAGACTTCAACATCACTTTATTTGACATTTGCAAATAAACTCCAGGAATTAAATTTCAGCCTTTGAGAAAAATTACAACATAGAAAGTACATGTTCTACAATGTATAAGCTAGCTTAAAATAAACCCTTGTACAGTGATTACCAAAAAGGACAGATTTTTGTCTAATATGCCATCTAGCTTCTGCTATAGAAGTTAAAAAGAGTTACCTATCCAAAACCAGTATCGTGTCTCCTACTATATTAGGCCAACTATAAATACAGCAAACTCATTTACACAGCTCATGCAATAACCTTTAAGGTTACATACAATGCAGGCTCCGTAGGGCACAGAGTCTATGTATACAATAATATGAACCCCCCACCCCCCCATCATGAAACTGCATATTGCTGCACAAGGTGGACCTCTTCTGGTGAAGAGCTTGTGCTCTGAAACACCTGATTCCATTAGTCTTGGCTAAGCAGACATCTACAGGGATCATGACATTATATAGCTTCTTTTAAAAGCAACGAAGGCACGTTGGTGTGGGTGGAAGAAGCAGCATGTCAGAGAGAGAATGACAGAGCACATGTGTGAGTACTTACCTCAAAGAGCGTCAAACTTTCATCATTCAAGATGATTCTGGGAGGTGCAATAACTGAAGTTAAAAAACAAGTTACAAAACAGGACCACCCAGCAACCGAAACTATACAGCATGTATGGGAGGGATTGCTGCCCTTCAAAAGAGGGACACGTTCTTACTGTCCACAAGTGCTTCGTATTAGGCAGAAGCATAACATGGCTAAGTGACCAGGGTTACTCCTTCTTTCCACTCTGAGGCCATATTCGAAGAAGAAATCCCTCCCCATGTCATATTCTCATGGCATCACAAGATCCCATATGCATCAGAGCCATCACAGCTAGGAACAGGCTTTGTAAAGTAGGGACAAATATTACCAACAGTACACTCACACAAGTAGAATGGCAAATCTGCATCTGCAAGGTGGCTCCTTACAAAGTCTCTCAAAATGCCAACTGTGGGGGGGGAAAAAAAAAAAAAAAAAAGGGAGGAGAGAAAGGTTTGCTGGATGACATTTGTTTCTTCAGATACTGGGCAACACGGCTAGCCTGAACCTATAGAACTGTCCTTTGCAATCTGTGCAGGTTGCCCTTTCCTTGAAAGAACACTACAGCTATCACTATTACAAATATCTTGCAGAAAATAAACATACATATTCTGGCCCCTTGGCAAAACATAAGGATCCCAGTGAAATTTTTCCTAGCAAATCCAATAGCAGCTGCAAGATCTGCAGAGATGAACTATGTGAGACTCTGGTCACTAGTTATCAGTTCCTGTTCCATATACAAGTATCAAAAAAACATGTGGGTAACCATATTGCCAGCTCAGAAGGAGAGGATCTAAATTAGCAACAGTGAGAGCTACTTGATATACGGTCAGACTTCTGTGAACTGATGACTGCAGAACGGTCCAACTCTTGCTACTGTGATTATATTAGGGAAGGCTACCCTCCTTGCCTCACCAAGCCTTCTCTTATGGAGTCTGCCTGAAACAAGCTACAACTCAGTAATATGCCATTTGAACACAAATATCAGATATCAAGTGGGACAGTTTCCTGAGCACAAATATTTTGTTGTCAAGCAGCCTGACGTAGCCTCCATCAAGTAGTCTTGGAAAGAAATTCCCCTTTACTACGGTATTACCTCAGATTCTTTTTCTCATCTAGTTCAGAGGCCTTATAAGGACGTCATAGCTAGGTACTGCTGCTTCTTCAGGGCAGCATTACTCCCCTGGCAGCAGAAAGATCTGTCCTAGCCACTCTTTTGGCATGCCACTAACCAATGATGAGAGATGTTAGCTGCAGCCACAGAGACTAAAGTAGAGATTACTCTTACCAGTTTCACTAGGACGGAAGAACCCCTGTAGAACATGACGGTCTGGGAAATGTACTCTCAACACCACCTAGTCAGAAGCAAAGCACATTAGGTCAATTGTGTACAGCTGTTCTGTGAGGCTTGCCCTTGGTTTAGAATTTATAGCAAGTTTCTTACAAATGGGGTGATTTGAGCTATCCTACTCTACAGGCTACAGGTTTCCATTACTGTGCAGCTCCTCAGAGAACATGGGCTGTCTGACTTCTAAAGACTGAGAGCTGACCTACAAAAACAGTATCATGTACAATGCAGCAGCACATATTCAGAGAGTAGAAGCTCCCTGTGCTATGCAACACTCAGATGATGAAGAAAGTCATCCTAGGTTTCAAACATGGACAAGTACAGACAATAAATCAGCATCTTGGAGTGTCCACAGTGGAAGGAAGCCTCCCAGTCACACAGTCCTTATGCTGTATATAGAATGATACTACCTGTTTCAGCCTATTTCCAGTAGCGGTCAGTTAGCACCCAACTTGGAAACTTCATCTCTTGTTTCTTTGCAGTAAAGCATCAAAAAGAATTGCATTAGGATTACATTTACAGAGTAAGATCTCTCCACTCTGTAATATCTTATTTAACATATAATGAGATTCTACTGAAACTAAGAGTCCATAGAGAAGTAGATAGGAAACCTCAGTCATATAGACTGACATGCGCATAACATAAGGGTTTTGAATCATCTGGAAGGAAATAAAAGGGGCTATTCTGCCTGCTGCCCAACCACATCATTACAGGCCAGCTGATTTTACATGGTATAACTGTTATGTGGGTCCTACCAACAATTAACAATGACAGGAACACGAAAAGCCTTCCTATAAGCAGCTCAAGATCCTGTTGGTCATATTTGGTTCCCAAAGCTACTTAAGCCCCAAGTTTAGACTAGCCAGAAGGACTGGAGAAAGAAAAAAGGCTACCTTTGGGTAACGTTCTAACTTTTCCTTCAGCTGAGCCTCCCTCAAAGATTTTGTCATCAGTGGAGCTTCTTCCAGGCGTTTCCTAGATACATGGGAAGACGACAAGCTGTCACTTCTGCCACTTTAAGATATATTTTTATCAAGAAAATGAAAGGCTCAAGCCGGGCAGATGACAACTGCTCAACAGTTCCATATATCCTTTACTGCAGGTTCCACACACCTGCTGTGCTTCCTACCCAAAATCTCAGACCTTCCACTACTCTCCTCCCAGGTCATGTTCTCCTTTAACAGCTAAGAATCACAAACCACAGGCCTGTATACAACCAGCGTATACACATGCATGCAATCACCTGTAAGTTCAGACTCCTGTTCTTTCAGATGCTTTCCTTACCCCCAAATCCTACCCTCCACTCTGTTGGCAGTTTCCCCAGCCTGGTACCTGCTCTATACACTCAAATTCTCTAAAGTATGCAGGCTTTAGAACAAATCATATTTTAAAAGAAAAAGAAAATAGACAATGGACAAAATGCAACTGAGGGGTTACTGAAGGTACCCCACTAATCTAGGACATTTCTTTATAAGGTAATTCATTTTCCAAGCAAAGGTAACACAGAAGCTCTCATCTATGTAAAAATCAGAAAGCGTTTTTTATCCACACGGAAAAATCATCAATTTAGCTAGAGAAGACAGGGATTGTTTAAAGATTTTTAAGGCAAGGAGAAAATACAATAAAGTGAAGAAAAAGCAACTGTGCTAAAAGGAGAGCCATGAGGATTGGAGCAAAGTTGGAAGTGCAGCTCCTTTAAAATCCCTGTTGGGACCAACATTTAATAAACTTTGTAGAAAAACTTACCGTGTTCTAATGAACTTTGCTTATGATACAAATTTAAGAGGCACTTACAAGATAGAGAAAAATCAATATTTTACTTAGAATGTGAATGATCCCGTAAACATTATTTTTACCCTGTTCAAGAAAAGCACGTTTACTGAAGTAGGTGCCAAGATTGCTTCTAAGATGATTAGGGGAATGTTTTCTGAGATTCTATGTGAAGAGCTGAATTTGTTAATCCTATAAAACAGAGACTGAAGTGGGACATGATTACTCCAGGGAGGGAAAAGTGCTACTGAGGCTGAAAAACTATGTTGGCATAAAAGAACTAATGGATATTAATTAGCCCAAAGGAAACAAAAAATAGAAATGAGACATTTCAGACAATGAATGAAGCAAGGTTGTGGACTGGTCTTTTAAAGGGAGTAGTAGGTGCAAAAAAACCTAACTGTATTTAAGATGATCCAGTAAATTCAGAAAAATAATTATGTATTTTCCTGTAAATAAAGAACTAAGCTTAATTCCAGCAGATACCTTTCAATTCCATGCTCAGTTTCAGTCCCTTTCCCTTATTTCAGCATTCTGAATAATTCTTAATTCTGAGTAACTTATTTACCAGGCTAGATTTTGGTGAAATATCTGATTGAATAATTACGATTTTGTACTACTATTTGCAAGTTAATCTTCTTGTGTCTGTGCAGTTTGAAGGACCTCTTTTTATTTTTGAGAATCATCAAGGTATCTCAGGAACAGGCACTGAACAAAACAACTCCAGGCTTTCTTCACCAACTGTACCCAGAACACTCAGCTGGCACACCACATTTCAAGATAATCTAAAAGTGTCGATTAAAAATTGGAAAAGTGAACAGCAAACTAACATACTCCGCTCCTTCTTTGTGTACCAAGTTTCTGATTCATATCAATTCTTTGCTCTTCATGAAACTGGAATTAAATTCTAACTGCATTTAAAACATTGCATTGTGTGCAGCTAGTTCTCGGTAAGATTCACCAGCTGAGATCAGCAGCCAACTGATACCAGTTTCATGTGGAACTTGCCTTTATTTTTATCCCTGTCCATGGGGGGAAAAGGGTTACAAGCATCAGCAAATTTGGAAGTGAGGTCCTTTTTGAGGGGGCTATATTCCAGTAACCCCCGACCAAACGACCATACGTTTGTACCACTAACTACTCCAGACCCACAAGTGGCCGAGCAATTTTCAAGCCAATCTGTGTACTCATGTGGATTTCAGAGGCCTGGGAAGGGGGGCGGGGAAAATAACTCCCAGGAGAAAGTTCTACTCAGACTTGGCTATAGTATAATAAAGGCTGTCCCACAGTTTCACAGAATATTTGTACGTTTAAAGGAATATTATGACCTACTTGAAACTAAATACATTCACAAAATTAATTCATTAAGGAACATATAGATGGCAAAATGCTGTTGCGATAGCGACACCTTAACCTGTGTTTTTATCCAGAACAGGAATAAGAGTACAATAAAGTCATGAGTATTTGATAGCAAACCGCTTGAACAGCGGAATGTGCAGTTAGCCCAGTTTCCTATACTTCTTTCTCCCATTTGGGAGCATCCCAAACATCCTCGTGTCTTGATTTCTGATTAAGTTTGATTTTGCATTATTTCTGTTTGGATAACGTCTCAAAGTCGGTCTTTTATGATTAGGTCAAATAAAAGGCAATTCCATTACTTAAAATACAAGGCTTTTCTTACTGGCTGGAAATGCTACTAGCTACTACTAAAGTCAGTGGGAGTTATTCCTCTGGAATTGGATCATTGTGCTCATATATTTGTCCATCATAAGTTACAAATTCTAGCCATTTAATTTCTAACAATCAACATCAAGTCAGATCAAAATGCAGAGAGCAGGAGCTCACCGCTGCTTTGGGCCTCTAGCAAATAAGGGTACATGAATTATAAAGTTAGTGGCCTCTCTTTCAGAGGAAGGGAGAAGGAAAGAAGGAAAGAAAGAGAGGTAGGGTTTTAAGTGGCTATGAATAACTCCCTGAAATGCAGAAGATGGGCATAAATCTTTCTTTTATTCCTTTCTTAGGGAGAGCCCAATTAGTTTGAGCTTCTCATAAAAACTTATCACCACACAAGCATCACAAATGCTTCCTGATGAAATTTTCAATATCCAAGTGAACCCATTATCCCATGACACAAATAGTCAACTGATTCACACAAAAACATAGGTCCTGGTACAGAAGCATGACTTGGCCCTTGTGCTCAACTGGCATAAAAGGTAGAGATTTCCAGGTCTAGTCAATAATCCCACACCCACTAATTTATCTTATCTAATTTACCTTTCCCCTAGAAATCACAGCCAGCTATAGGGGCATAGTGCAACTCTCCTCAACAAAAGGATATGGAGCAATCTCAGTTGCTATCAGAAAGGAAACTTGCCTCTCGCTCTGCAGCTGTGCCAAACGTTTTCGTATATCATCCACTGTGACTTCAAAAAACTCATCAGGAAGGTCTTCTGGGCCAGCAGGAAGCGGTTCTAGTAGGTCTAGATGACATACAAGCGGCTCTCGTTCTAAAAGCTACAGAATAAAAGTGAGCTCAGGTTAGTCTTTAATATGTTGCTTTGCTAATGCTAGAAGGTTCCGGACAAAAAGTAGAAGGACAGTATTTGCCAACAGAAATACAGTCACATGCATGGAATTCATCTCACTAAGAACAGATACAGACGATATGGAAGTTCTCAATGTTGAAACTAGTCACTCTTTATAGTTGATGGAGCTTGGGGCACAATTCCTCCCAACAAGCAGCAGGAGCCTATATTCTGTCAGATGAGTCACACAGCTAACGGAGTTAGCTGCTCTCAACTGTTTATACAGGAAGGCCAGAATAAAAAGCTCAGCAGTCATCTAATGTAAGGAGAGATGACTCCTTTCCAGGCAGTACCTATGGGATCTCTTCACTTACATTACAAAGATATTTTGTAGTTGAACCATACTTCTAGCTAGTTAGACGCTTGTTACAAGCACTCAGAAGCAACTCCTATCCCAAAGTCATCATCTGCTTCTCTCTACCCTACTCCAAACCTCTCCATATACAAGCACTTCCTTATCATTCAGACAGCACAAACCTAATACAGGTACTACTGTATGTGCTATAGCCTATAAACTGCCCTTTTAAGCTGTTCATCTGCCACATACCCCATACTCCTTGCTTCACGTTCTCTTGCCACAGAACTAGCTGCAGTAGTTCCCAACCCGGGCTCATTCCATTGCTTCTTACTGGAGAGGATTCTTCATACTCTAGAGATTAATCCTTTATTTTGGCAAATTAATTTTTGGTCTGTTGAGCGCTTGGAACTTGCTTACTGTAGGGTCTCATTGTACGCATTTAGATTTTTTAACCTGGCTTCTGGTATGCATCATCTTTCATCCAGTAAAGAAAGCTCCCTTGAACAGTGAAAACTCTTTTGTTTTGCACTTATAAACTACTTAGCACTGAAGTCAGCCTTAGCTGCAGGCAGAGTTCAGGAACCTGCTTGGAAGAATCTCATGGGATCTGGCTCTGGAGAGAAGAGGGGCCCAAGAGAGCTCTTTGATATTCCTCCAAGCTCAATAATGGTCCATCTCAACAAGCAGGAAATCAAGCAAAGGCAGCAGGAGGCCTGCATAGATTAACAAGGAGCTCCTGACTAAATTCAAACATAAAAAGGAAGCACACAAGAGGTGGAAACAGGGATAGGTGAACCCAGGAGGAATACAGAGACACTGTCCAAGAGTATAGGGTTGGGGTTAGGAAAGCTAAAGCCCATCTGGAGTTGAATCCGGCAAGGGATGTGAAGGACAACAAAAAAAGGCTTCTACAAGTACATAAGCAGCAGAAGAAAGGCTAGGGAAAATGTAGGCTAGCTGCTAAATGGGGCAGGGGCCCTGGTGACAGAGGACACAGAAAAGGCAGGGATCCTGAATGCCACCTTTGCTTCAGTCTTTACTGGCAAGACCAGCCTGCAGGAATCTCCGAGATTAAAGGGGAAGTTCGGAGCAAAGAAGATTTACCCTTGGTGAAGGAAATTATGTTAGGGAACACCTAAACAAATAGAAACTCAGGAGATTCTATCTAAACATAAGAAAATACTTCACTATGAGGTGGCCAAACACTAGAACAGGTGGTCCAGAGAGGTTGTGGAGTCTCCATCCTTGCAGATATTCAAAACCTGACTGGGCATGGTCCTAGGCAGCCTTTTCTAGCTGACTCTGCTTTGAGCTTCAGAAAGGTTGGACCAGATGATCTCCAGAGGTCCCTTCCAACCTAAATTATTCTGTGATTCAAAGCAGGCAGCTGCTAGAAGAGCAGTTCCCTGTACACATTAGCTGAAATAAAGGTACTTACTACATCTACTGGCATTATCCATTTCTTCTCCCCTCATTGCCTCATACACCCCTTCCAATCCAAACGAATGCCTGAATGTCCTCTCTCCTTCCTCCATATGTTCCATCCATTCTCCCTTCCCCCAGGCACAGGCCTCCTGGGAACAGGAGTCTCCCTCAATTGTCAAAAGAGACAACACAAATTACAAGGCAATGCTCACTCTATTTGTGGGCACTGAAGGGCAATTTGAGAAATTAAAAGAGCGAGGTTGTGTGGGTGGGACCCTTGGCTACATTTAGAAAGTTGAGTGGAATCAGCTCTAACTAGAGGGTGAAGGAGCCTGATTGCAGCTTTCCCTGGCCTCATGGGGAAGGAATGCCCAGAGCTGCAGAACTCCCTGAGCTGCGTGTGTAAAGAAGTGATCCTGAGCATGCAGAGCCACCGTCTGGGAAAGAGCCTGTTGCACAACAGTCTTAACTGCTGCGGTCAGCTGGTCTGACAAGGCCAGAACCACGTCAGAGGCCAGAGAATCGGTCGGCCCTCCACAATAACGTGGAAGTTCCATTTCACTCTGAACCCACCTTCGTTGAATACCGCTGAATACTGAAGACAGATTTCTCCTTCCAGGGAAAAAGACTGAGCAGATATGCCCTACAGCATGTTAAGAAAGGTGCTGGAATACAACGAAGAGAATTCCAACGTCCGCATTAGCAAATCCTAAATTTATCACTTAGTTACTGGCTCTAGCAAGCACTTTAGCTAATCATAACAGTAGCAGGATTCCACAGGAAAACAGTCAGTCACTGGCCAAACCAGGGTAGTGGCTAAAGACTTCAGCCGAGACATCAGAAATCACAGGATACTGGAAGGCAGCCATATACCCCAGTCCTAAGCATTCACCTCTCTTCCCCGCTGCCTGTTGACTGTCTGCACTATTGTATGTTAGAACTGTTATGTAAGTGTTGCTTTCCAGATGTCTCCATTGAAGACAAATGGGTCTTCACTGCAAATAATATATTGCAAACTGGCAATCAAGAACTTCCCCCTCTAAAGCCATTCTCCAGCCTATCAGAATCACAGAATGGTTGAGGATGGAAGGGACCTCCGGAAATCATCTAGTCCAACCCCCCTGCTCAAGCAGGGTCCTCTAGAGCACATTTCCCAGGGTCGTGTCCAGGCAGGTTTTGAATATCTCCAGTGAAGGAGACTCCACAGAACTATGTAAGTGCTGTGAAACAAAACCTACTACTTCCCAGGCATAAATGCCCAGTTCTTGACATCTATCTTCTATCCAGCCAAGATGTCTCCACTTAATTCTCCAGTACATACCTGTACTGGCCCTGCACAGGCACACAGCTACCCTCTGGCATCTAAGTCTATACTTTTATCTCTCTCTTTCCTCAGCCAGCACTGAATGCTGAATATCTTATATTAGTTATATATGTTTAGAAGTCAACTAAAACACATTACTTAGCTGCTACTTAAAATGAAAAGCCATACTTTTCTGTACAGAAGAAAGGGCAGCAGATCTGAGCTTGTCTGATGGAACCACAAAAAACACCCCCAAAGAAACAGAGAAACAGAGTAAGAATTCCCTAACATTAAATTTTCAGCTAGCCCCCAATAAGAGATTTAGCACTCTGGAGAGAGCCGTAATGATGAGTTTATGGAACATAATTCAAGGGTTTTAAGCTCGTTTCTCAGAGTTTCTGCAACTCAACTCCAGAATTGCACCAAAGGTTCTGATCTGAGAAGAGCAGCAGAAGGTGCCTACACAGGCATTGCTTAGCTACCGAAAAGACGTAGTAAATTTTGCCTCAGAGAGTACAAAGACTACCTCTTCAGGCACGTACCTCACACCCAGGGGAATCAAGCCTGCTGCTTACCCCTCCTTACAGGCATAAGGAACACTCTTAAGACAGAAAGAGGTATCCATTTCTGTTGCTCCACCAATTCTCTATTTCCTCAAAGCCCAGCAATCACTCTCTTGCTGTTTCTTTATCCATTACCATTTACTCACTTAGGTATTATGATAGGGCTTCTCCCAATCTGAGCACTGTCAATACAGTCCACATCCGCTAGATGTGGACTGGCAAAGAGATGGCACATCTGGTATTTTCTGCAATTGTGACAAAAATCTCTATTAATACTAAGTGGCCACCATAAGGCAGTTCCTACCTTCCATTATATAACTCAGGAGAGAAGAAAGCTATACGCTTTGTTGTAACGTACTCTTGGCAATAACGTCTTTCAGGAGCCAAAGACACTGCATTATGGTTTGTCACCTTCCCAAAACATCAATTCTTCAAAGTCTCTACCCTCTTCCAAAGTTGAGAGGTTAAGCACTTCTCACCAGCAGGCTGAAGCCACCTATTCACAGCAGTGTCTTCTAGGTGGTCTATAGAACTCCAGTTCCCACAATAATGCTAGGTGTCAGGAAGAATGCAATTCACTCTAAGGTCACCACTGCGGCCCTACGTAAGCAGGTAAGTTGAGGAAAACCTGTCTTTATCTTTAAGCAAAGCAGTGGCTACTGTGCTTTCCATAGCAGTAAGCTCTCCCTGGAGACCCACCTCCTCCCCACCACCTCAGGGAGCTCTGATCTCCAGGGGATTCTGGTGTAAAGTTACCTTCTAATAATTAGTGTTCTGACATCAAAGTCAGCATGCAGCCGTCTGTAAACCATCTTCAGCCCAAGAAACGAAGGGACGCCGGCACAGATTTTATCCAGCCTCTCTTCAATTCCAAAAACCACACACAGGCAAAGCATTAATGGGAAGATTCTTTTACAAAAATGAACCTTTGATGTTTAAAAATAATTTGTTTTGTTTTGGGTTTTTTCCTCAGGACTGAAGAGGGACAAAAAGCAGATGCCATGTGGCTAGCCCTGCTCTTATGTTGCTGCTGAGAGCAAGGAGAGCAGAGGATGGCAGGAATAGAGGAGGAAACAAAATGCAATCAATCAGCAGCAAAAGCACCAGAGATCAAAGGGCTTGAAAGCAGCAGTCAAAAATCACATGCTGTTTAACACAAGGGCAGAACCCCCTCAACAGAATCTGCAGCTGCTTCCAAAGCTGCTCTCAAACTGGAAGGGAGGCTGGCTTCAGAAGTGCCTCTAAGTGGTTTGAACTGGACTGCAATTCTGAGAAAGACGTTGGATCCTAAGAGTCCCTAGGCCACCACTGTTCAGCTCTGTGCTCATCGGCACAGCTTCACATAAAGCTGTAGCCAGTAGAACAATAAGAGTAGTTCAACAGAAGTGAGGACAACAGGACTGATGAAGAGCAACATCAAACCCTCTCACTCTCCTTTCCTTTCTTTTCAGACACAGTTGAGCTCCTTCTTTCCAAATCCCTCACAGGTGAGAACATGACTGAAGTGAACAAAACATTAGGCTGGACACATCGCCCAGCTTTCTGTTTAGCTCTCTCTATACTCAGAGTCTTTTCTAAAAGGTTAGAAAACATTGATTAGATGGATCCCAATATGTCTTAAACACACTCAAATATTCACCACTGGGCTGGCAAGGCCTCTTTCTGCTCTATTTGTAACCACTCCAGAGTCCTTCCAAAGTCTGGCTTCTGTTCCTAAACAATTCAGAAATCCACCAAAAACAGACCGCGGCTACGGAGCAGTTAACCAAGGTAGAGTCTCTGCATCTGTGTGAGAGCATACGCACACCCTTGTTAAATTCCTACTGGATCAAGCTCCCTTTGAAGCCCAGACATCCTCTCTTCCTACTTATGGCTTTCCATTGTTTAATCCCTTGGCTGAATCAGAACCAAAGTTAAGCACAGAACTCCCAACTCCAGAAGGTATTAAGGAGTGAGAAACGATGAAGGAGATCTCTCAAGATTAAAGCCAGCCCTAGTGATGATGTGCGCAGTGAGCGAGGGGGAAAGGAGAAAAGTTGATCCGGGAGAACCTGGGACAAAACCTCTGGCAAACAGTAATGTGTCCACATTAAAACACGAATTCAATGTCTCTTGTACTTCATTTTAGGTTACTTGCACTGACATATCCAACCTTGCTCAAGTCACCGAATTCCATATAGCTGCCTTGCAGAAAGCATGCTTGACGTCATTCAAAGACCATCCCGTGATGGCATCACGGCACTTTTGAGCTATCAGGTCTGGTATCTCTACATAGGCTAAACCATTTTTAACTTGAATGAATACATCTTGAATTCAGAGACACTAACAACGCTGGTAAATACACAGTTTCTCTTTCTGGGAGCAGGATTAAAGGGAGGTAGACTTTATTTAAGGAATAGGGTATTTAGAGTAGGACAGAAAACCCTCTTAGATGCAAGATGAAATAGATGGAGAGGGAAAAGAGAGGATTTCTGCATAATCTGTAATACTAAGACAAATAAGGCTCAGAGAGAGGCCAGGACTAGGCCAAAGGGAAAAAAGGTTCAGACCTCTTCTTTCAAAGACTTAACTCTCTGGTACTTGGCAAGAGTGATGCAACTGTAGCTGAAAAATTCCTTTTCTATGTCTGTACCCCTTATATTCTACCACACTGTCTCCAAAAGAATTAAACTAGAAGTCAAAGCGATGACAGTCAGAAGGAACTCTGGGGAAACAAACGTTAACTAATCATCAGCATGGGACACCGCTTTTAGGATAGCTTAACTATGGAGCTCTGTGTTCCACAGAAAGGCTCAGACAAGAAATCTGAGCACACCCTGCAACCTCAGAGTTAGAAACTGTGACCATCTTCTGCTCAGATCCTATTGTCTTAGAAGTATGCGGTAGGCATGGGATCAAGTTGCAACAAAACCTGTTAAGACCACTTTTGCTCCTATGACATAATCGTACATCCAGCTAGAAAGGCTTTCCCTTTCTGCATATAAAACTCTACCAAGCTTTTATCTCCCAGATCACGCAGAAGGTAAGTCACAACAAGCAGTAAGCACGTTCAGAGTATTAGAAAATACAAGTCTGGCCAAATTCTGCTCATCTTTAGCAAAACTACACAGTAAATAGCAATTAGAAAAGGCTAAGTATCCAGGTGACAAGAGGCATTTGGTAATGAAATTTAGCTCTTCATGGACTTTGAGGCACAGAATTTGAGGCTCTTCTGGATTGCACTTTTAATGCAGTTGTGTTGCCTCCAGCTGAACCATTCAAAAATACCTCAAGTTTCAAAGCTTTGCTTGCCTCTGGACAGCACGTGAATTCCTAAATTCCCATCCCACATCTTTTCTAGAGTAAAGAGCCCAAAATGCAATACTTTCTTGCTCAACTCTTCAGAACTGTATGCCACCAAAGCATTTAACTCTAAATTAAGTGTGTGTGTGTGTGTGTGGGGGGGGGGGGGGGGGGGGGGGATTTGATGCCAAAACATCTTTCTCCTCTTAGGTGCTCAGCCTAGGGCAAGGCAGGATGAAAAGAGCTCTCATTGCAAATTAATTTTCCTTTACCTGCTCTTGCTCCTTTAGCGATTCTTGGCTGTTCTTAGACTTCTTTGGCTTAGAAGGGCCTCCAGGGCTGGAGGAAGATATTGACAGCTTTGAAGATGGCATGCCTAACCCAGGAGATGCTGCAGCCACAGGAGAGTCCCCCAGACGCTGTCCGTCTCCAGAAAAAGGGACAAATGGGGTAGACTCGTGCTCTGAGGGAGGCCACAGCTCCTCCAAGCTGGCATGGGATTCTCTAATCAAGTCTTGCCCGTCTCTGCAGCTGTGTAAAGACAAGGCCACGTCACTGTGGTCCGAGTCCTCTGGGAATGCGTGTGCTTGAGTTAGGGACACATCCCCTGCTTCCTCGGTGGAGCTCGCTCTCACTGTCAGCTCATTACATTGAGCCATGGCATCCACAGCCGCCTCCTGACCAGATGAACTGCACTTCTTCATGACAACCCTTAAAGGAGATACAAGAAGAGATAAAAATCAACATAATTCATCCTAAGAACACTGCCCTCCCCTTTCCCAACATGACCATGAAACAAAGGACTCAAATATATCCCTAAATTTAATCTGCTTCTTCCAGTTATTCACAAAGAACAAGTTCTAGTTGCTCTGAAGTTTCTGAAGGGGAGAAAAAGGGACCCCAAAAAACAAAATAGGAACTATCCTCTCCACAGGAGACAAATTGCCTTCCAGAAAGAAACAGCAGTCAGGTGTAAAGCACACATTCTAATCACCCTCACCTCCTGTATATATTGCAAAGGACTCACTAGAAGATCACAGAAAGGCTGTCATTGTCCCCCACCCCATCATCCCAATCAGTCAGCAGGAGGCACTGCAGGGATTGGGAATTCAATGCCTGAAATTCAAAGCCGAAAAGAATGAAGCAGTAGATTCTGTCTTACTCTCAGTCAGAGAGATTAACTTTGAATTGTCTGTTTCACTCGCAGGAAAGAAAACAAACTAAACAAGCCCCTTTAATCTGCATACGACTGGTCAGTGCCAGCATCTGCAGCTGTGGGAAGCACATCTGGGCAGCAGTTTCAGATAAACAGGCAAATATAATAATTACTGAATGTCGCGATGTTTGTCTTTTTGAACTTTAATGCATTTTTGGGTACTTCAAACAAAACAAATTCACCTCCAGAGTGAAAAGCAAAGGAAAAACAAAGTGCCCAAACTTTGCTCCTCCCAACCTGATGATGGCACTGCCCCCAGTCAGGCCAAGTGACTTCAGGGTCGTCTTCCCTAGGGCATCTTTTCCTGATATCTGCAAAAAAACAGAGGAAACACTTTTATGACAACTGCCTATCTAAGGGAGTAGTTAAAGAGCTCTTTCTAGAAAGAGGCCTGCATCAAAACAAGCACCACGCAACATCAGAAAGAGCTCAAAGGCACTCTTTCTGCACTTGGAAATGAGACTGGAATCCATTCGTATTCACCTGTACTGCTTTACCAAATTCACTGCTTATTAAAAGATTCTGACAGACGACAACCCACATATATTTCCGTTCCATACATACATCCAAGTCTGATCCAAGCTCAGCAAAAGATTGTTTCTATATCAGAAGTTAAATCACAGGCAATATTTCTAAGCCGAAAGACAGCTGATTTTATTACATACACCTCCCATTTGCTTGCCATGACCTGTTCCAGAATAAAGATGACCTGTCCACAGAGGTGGGCAGTAGGAAGTGAAGGGGACAGCTAGGGAGAGCAAATTCCATAATATGCGCATACAAAATATTAAAAACATTAATAGCAAAAGATCAAAACACAGAGAAAAGCAAATATTTATTAAAATGAAACCACTGTTTTGACTCTTGAGCTTTTAAAGAAGTTGGAAAGAAAAACACAAACAGGTCATTGAGCTCATTTTATGGGCTCAGAGGTCTAAATGGCCCAGGGTTACGTTCCAAGAGAGCTTTTTTCCATACAGACATGTCAGGCTTTGAAAAGACCAAAGTTTTTCTATTTCCCCTCTCAAGAAAGCTCAGAGGAAACATTTTCCAGGTTGGAAAATGGAGCAAAGTGGGTTTTTTTTTTTGGTTTTTTTTTTTTTGAGGAGGAGGAGGGGAACAGAAGGAGAAGAGACAGCTAAGAAGAGCTTGGTGACTTACCTCATCTCGCATGTAAATACAGACTGGAGAGAATTCACTGTGTTGTTCCATAAGCTCCCTGCAATAAAAAGCAAAATAATCTGCAGCATCTGTAGAGCAATCCATCCCCCCCAAAACCACTGTAAAGAAATAGTAAAATTAGCCAGCACCACTCTCCACCCTGTTACTCCAGCAACGATCCTTAGACAGTTCACAAAATCAATATTGGACATTACAGTAAAGAATTTGCTCTAACACCTCTACTGTTTCTTAAACACAGTCCCTTAAAAAGTTTAAAAAACAAAGGAGAAATAATTCCTCAAGTCAAATTCTGAAATAAACTGATCTTTAGATAAATCTGAGAATATCATTGTCATTGTGCCTCAGTACCCAATATCTAATATGACATAGTACTAATTGATTTTTTAACCTCTTATCTAAGTTAATTAGTTTATTATAGTTTAGACTATATTTTCTTTGGGCAAGGGCCAGTTTCTTTCTGTGTATACAGAGTATCTAATAGAATGAAGTACTGCTTTAAAGCAAATAATGAGGACAAGGAATTTGCCTGTCTTACCAACAAACTGATTAAAAAAAAAAAGAAAACAGTAAATGCTTTTAGATTCTGGAGATCAGGGACAAAACAGCAGCAAAGAAAAGGCTGCTGCAGTAGACAAGTGAAGATAAACCCACAACCACGGGTTTCAGTGAGGTAGGACACATATCAGCAATGATGCAAGCTGATGACAGACCATCTGCAGAGGAAGACTTAAAGTGAAGGATTCATAGCATAGGGAAGGGGAAAAATGGCTTGAGACTAAGAAGAAAAAGCTTTAAAAGATGCTACTCTTCCTATTTTTCTCAAGATAATAAATTCTGAAGCACTGAAGAAACTTCATCACATATTCACTTGATCAAACAGAAGACGGACAGGAAAAAAACAATCACTGTGTCACTGCAAGGTTCAGTTCTCATCCATCCAAGATTATTCACTCATTCGGTAATGCCCACTCTGTGCAGAACCATATGTGTTCTTGCATTCTCCCTCTACTGTGAGGGCATATATGGGAGAACAGTACAGGCTTATTTTCAGTTCCCTCAGTAATTCAGAACTCTCCCAGAAATCAGTTATTCTGTATATTTAAAAAGCCTTTCTAAATTCTAATCAGATAGCTGCCCCACATTTTCTGCATCTCTCATTACCAAAAAAGCCAGTACTGGTAACATTGATAAGTTACAGACCAGAACGTTGGTCAGAGAGCTAGTAATAGTCTCTTAGTATCTAACTCTGGAATTGGCACAAAGTCCAGTTCCAACAGTCTCAGTATTCAAGTTAAGAAAGGATCACTGCAGATGCTAACCTTTAGTAGTGGAGTTGGCTTGGCCTCAGTATGCACTTAAGGAGGTATGGTCTGCCACTCTGTTTTGTGCCAAGCAATCAGGTTTTGGAGTCCAGGATTAGTTTATGAATCTTTCTCTCCACCCAGGGAAGGATAGTTTGATGCTGCAATTCACTTCTGAGATGATGCTCCAATCTGCCCTACCTTGAGGTATCTCCCAACGTTAGTGAAGAGGATCCAATTTGCGCAGAGAACATTTACAGAACCGACAGATCAAAGATATGGGAGTTCTTTTTTTTTTTTTTTTTTTTTTTTTAATTACCAACCAAAAAGCTGTGCCCACTTACTGGTTGGCATATAGGATTAGCAAAAATGTTTCCTTTTGGAATCAGCATTCTTCTGAATCTGATTCTCTCCTTCAAGAGTGAGCAAACAAACAATAACAAGTGTTGATAGTGGATTGCTCTGTGGGGGAAAAATCAGCACACCAAGTAGTGGATGAGTATCCTGTACTGGATCAAACAAATGAAGGCAACAACTATATCCCTCCATCTAAGGCTAAACACACACACCACCACCACAAAAACCTGCATACAGCTTGAAACCTGGACATTTGGTGCAACTGGCAATCAGAAAGGCAAAAAAAGCACTACAGTGAACTGAAGTAATTAAAATTAAATGGGATAAAATAAGAAAATACCAAGTGTTAAAAGTAAATTCTTTATTATCTGCTTCTGTGAACAGTGGATTGCTACGGATGGAGACCAAACTCCACTCTGCTGACAAAGACAGCAAGAGAAAACCGAGCAGCAAGCAGGATCATTCTGTCCTGAGTACCATCAGAAAGAAAAGTATGATAAAAGGGCACACACTTATCCCCACCAAATGTCGCAAATCAAAATATTCTGGACACACACCATGTGCCTGTGCAAACAGAGTAAGGCTCTAAGGACAGATATATAATATAGTTAGAACTTAATGGAGAATGAAAAGGATATGACAAATGTAATTTCAAAAAGGAGCAAATGTGGAAAACTCTGCAATATAATGTTCTTAATGAGGGGAAAAAAAAGCAACACTTTTAGTAATAGGAAACCTCAAAATGTTTGTAGAAAGGTAAAAAGTCTTGAAGAATTAAGTAGTACCTCACACTGAATCACTGAAATCAGTGAGAGAAGTAGATTCAACAACAGAAGAAAGAATCTCTTTCATGTTGGTTTCCCTTTCAATGATCAGAGTGAGACTCAAATTAAAATCAGCTGAGAATGTGGCGAAACATGAGGAGATCAAGGAGAGTATAGGTTGCTTCCCCCCCTCAAGCACATGAATGCCAAAAGGTGACCAGGAGAACACTGCCCATCCGCAGGATAGTTGCGGTTAGGAAAGATGACTAGCTGAATTCTCAAAATCCTTTTTCAAAACCTTTAGATTCAGACTGTCAGCCTAACTCAGCAGGGGAAACTACAAAACAAAAGGTGAAAAAGTCGCCCAAGGATACTCCCCATCCACACAGTCAGAACTCATGAGACTTATCCTTCTTCATAACACTGTGGTGCTCAGCAGTTATTGCTAACACATTCTATGCAGAGCTCTCTGTCATGTCAGTTACCACTACAACATCCCCTAGTAATGAGCTAGCATATACCATCTGCACTGCAACAGCTGTTCTATCATCAAAAGCTAAACAGCTGAAGTTCTTCCTCATTGTAAAATCCCTTGATCTTAGTACTCTCTGTAGTCCAGCCTCTGAAAAGACTGGCTTTCCCCTATGCCTCGCCCCAGCAGGAAACAATCACCCATCACCTGCTACTATAACAGAAACTGCTCGCTGCAAATCAGCTAATGAAATCCACCTGACAAGCTAGTAAAGTGATACATCCTTGCTCTGCTCCTGAGGCCTCCAACAAGAGAGGCAGAAGCCAGTCCCTGAAGTCAACTTGCCATTTTATGCTCTACTACTCCTGTGTCGGCTACTAAACTGAAGTAGAGCTTTGCAAGTGGCGTACTTAAAGGGTTATGTAAACATTGACACTTGACAGTCTCTTCAGTTATTTGATTCTAGTCTTTGCAGGGAACTTTATAGGAAAAAGCAAAACCTTCAGGACCCTGGCAGCTTGAAAAAAAAAAAAAATACTGCAGTATTTTTCTCTGGAAATGAGAAAGTTTCATACAAAATTTGCTATATAACAGTTGAAGTAGAAATATTTTTCCTCTGCTTTGTTCTTAATTCTGCAGAAGCAGGTCATAGACACACATTCCCCTAAATACATTTGTAAAACATTTCTCAACTTGGTGTCCAAGTATCACAACATCTTACATCTAATGTATTCCTTGTACCTATAAACTGTACTTTCAGCGACTCATTCTCTACCTTTTAATTTGTGCGTCTCATACCTGTGGAGGGAACATGGGAAGATTATAAGAAAATGAATTAATGATAGTGATCAAGGCTGGGTTCATTCTGCCTCTTCCTGGAAAGGAGTTTAATGAATGGAGTCCCATTACTTAAAACACTCTCCTTTCAGTATCATGTAATTTAAACATAAGTGTTCTCAGGTACAATATTCCCAGGTACAAAGTTATGTCTGGGGTTTATGGGAGAATCCCTTATGTAGTAGCCAAAATCCATTCAGTCAAGTGAGTGTCTGATTCTGAAGTGACCATACACATCATATAGCATAGCTGTGCTGTGGCCACACTGACTACTCCTATTAGCAAGGTTTCTATTTCATAGCAGGTAAGTCCACAGTCATGCAATGAACCCAACCCGCAGGCGATTATTGTAACAACCATTATGGAAAGACCATCTAAGACAGGGATAAACACTTCTGTCCAGGTAGAAATGAAAGAAAATAATCCTCAGCACTATGGCAATCTGCTTGCACAGTAGTAGATAAAAGTCTGCATAACCGAGTGCACTGTACTACTTTTAGTGCAGTAGCTCCAATAATCTTACGTATCATCATAACGTTCAAAGCTACTTGACATTGTATACATGTGTCAATATCATCTTACATAGTCTTCCTATAATGCGATTTGCATCATATCACAGATTAGCAGTTTAGGCTTGAATATATATGTATATATATATATACACACACACACACACACACACACATTTATATACAATCAGTGTCTTACATAACATTTAACATGCGTCTATTTAATTCAATAGAAAGTGACAAAACCAACTGAGCAGGGAAGGAGTCAACCAGCCTACAGAACAGAAACAGAAAGGAAATAGCCATGAAGTTCCAGGAAAATTCATCAAGGACATTTACATTTAGACTCAAAACTCACTTCAAAGAAACGTGTGGTAGGTGGAACCAGAAGTCATTCAGAACTGGGGCAGACACCTGGAAAACTATGATACTCAAATCCTTGAGTAATCCTTAAGAGTAAGAACACAAAGAGTTCCAGATGGAGGGAAGTGGGAGAGCAAACCTTGTAAGCACAGACTAGAATTTAGATCCCTATTTGTTTGAATTGCAACAGTCTATCTTTATTCCTGATCTAAAAGTTAAAACTTTAGCTTTTCTAAATAAAGCATGCAATAGCACAGTGATATGGGACAAGGCGAGTAGGAACAAAACCGACAAGCTCCTGTTGCTGTACTTCCACAGAGATAGCAAATCCAAATAGAGCAACATGTAAAACCAGTCCTGAGGGATGGGTCTGATTTAGCAAAGTCAGGGGCCGAGAACTAATTCCAGACTAGCTACAACAGGTCACACAACTG